CAACTTCAGGTTTCTTATACATTAATCTGAAGCGTGTGGTGCTGCACACTGTTAGAGACAGGGTACTGGATGAGATGGGCCACTGATCGGACCCAATACAGCAATACCTAATTACTGATTGGTATAATTTGTAATTTTAGATCCAGATATTTAACTGATGTGATTAAAAGTAGCACAATTGAAATATAGGTAAGTATCATGATTTAGACCAACTGAGTGATTTACTGCTGATGCTGAACTGGTTTAAGAAGGATACTTGCATTATTAACTGTTTCTCTGAACTAAGTGGTGCCATTTTTATCTAAAATGGTTTGAAAATTGCCAGTGTCCATGATGGAAAAATTCTGTATTGTTGGTTTAGTAATTTGACTCAGTGTTTATTTACTCCTCCCTCCTGAGCTATTGGGAATGGAAGGTCTTATGGACAAGGCACAAATAGGGCCTCAGAAAATCTGCTTTGGGTCCTCCTCTCTGCTACCAGATCTCAAAAGGCCTCAGCACTCAGTAATCACAGCTGTATTGGAAACTGCTTTAATCTTCTGAAACCAAATCCACAAAAAGAAAAGGAGGACTTGTGGCACCTTAGAGACTAACAAATTTATTAGAGCACAAGCTTTCGTGAGCTACAGCTCACTTCATCGGATGCATACATCCGATGGAACCTGGTAACACCTGGTAACACTCATTGTTTCATGTTCTCTGTGTATATAAAATTTCCCCCCTATATTTTCCACTGTATGCATCCGATGAAGTGAGCTGTAGCCCACTAAAGCTTATGCTCTAATAAATTTGTTAGTCTCTAAGGTGCCACAAGTCCTCCTTTTCTTTTTGCGGATACAGACTAACACGGCTGCTACTCTGAAACAAAATTCCACAAAGAGACTTAGGCATCTAAATTCCTATTTAGTCAGCAAAATCCAAGAATTTGGTGACACGGAGATGCTCAAAATCGCTCACTCTGTAGGAACCTACATTCCCATGGCACCTGCCTTTGTGCTACTTGGAATATGCAAAATCACCAACGCCCTGATACTTCTAATCTGATCACAGCCCTAGTCCCAGTGGGATTCTCAGACTAGGCATTCACTTCCCTATTTTACCTGATGGTCCAGATCCTTCTCAGAGCATATCCACCAGTTTGGGGATCACAGAGAAGACATCTGAGGATTACTATGTCAGGAATATAGCGGGCTGGCTAGCTGGCTGGGTCTAAGAATATCCCAATTCAAGGGGTTACTTACTGCATGACATGAGCTCTGAGTCTCCTATGCCACTGTGAACTGTGTTATGCTCACTCTGCTCTTTACTGTGTGTTTCAGGTTTACAACAATCACCAAAGATGAAAGATCTGTGTTACCCATCCCACCCATGTTGCCCTGACATTTGCCCAGATCCATGTGCTTATGTCTGCAATGAGCCTTGTATTACATCATGTGGTGACTCGAGCGCAGTGATCTTTGCACCCCCAGTTGTCGTGAGATTCCCGGGACCAACTCTTGCTACTTGCCCTCAAGACAGCTTCGTGGGAACCACCATACCAAATTTACCCTATAGATCTGGGGCTGGTTTTGGAGGTGGTGTTGGTGGTGGTGTTGGAGTTGGTGATGGGGGTGGTTACGGTGGTGGATTTGGGGTTGGAAGTGGATTCAGGGGTGGATTCGGGGGTGGATGCGGGGGTGGTTATGGGGGTGGGTATAAGTGCTCATATGGATATGGGGGGAAATATGGTAGGAACTGCTCGTACACCAGCTATAGATGTCCATGTTAAACCCAGAAGAAAGATCCACGGAACAAGAAACACCCAGGAAATGAAAGACAAGATAGAGATTCCCCACACAGCCAATGGAGAACGAGCATCTGCAACTCCACTCGAAATCAGAGGGGGTTGTGGGTATTCGTCATCTGTATAAATCAGACCTATCTATGCCTTCCTTTTGTTACATATTCCTTGAACTTTACGGTCTGTCTAGTTTTGCAACTTAATCTTATGCTGCTGTTGTGCTTTGTCCTTTCCGATGCTGAGCAGTCTACAAGTTACTAAAAGTGCTGGAAAATGCGACATGATTTTCAAGCTCTGCAGCTGCAAGGAAGAGAGCAGAAATGCACCACGTTGGAGCTGGTGACTGGTTGGAGCTCTCATTGTAACCCCGCAAATGCATTCTCTGTTACTCTGCATTAATTCGTTCTGTCTGTGTAAACGCTGCTGCTCAGTCCCATTAAAAAATTATGCTGCATCATATTTTCGGCCTTCTGGTTTTCCTTTCCCCTCCATTCTTTCTTCCAAAACACGAGTTGAGACAATTTAACCAAAACAGTTTGGCTAAAATCAAAACAACGTTCAAAGTATACAATTAACATGCAAGAAATTATTCTTCCCTCCCAAATTCCCCTTGTTATAATTAGCATGCCCCAGGCTTCCCTGCCAGAGGGTTAACAATACCACTAACCTGCCGCAAAATGCTTCAGAGTTAGGGAAAACAACCTGCTTCCTGCTCCTGGGCTCAGCTTCTCCCAACTCACACAGGGCACATGGTCCTTTGTTATGCAGCTGCCCTGACTGCTCACTCTCCTGGAGTCTGACCCCAGCAACAGGAAACCTATTGGACCCTAAAGGACAACAGCCAAAATCCAGAAGCTTCTGGATGTGGAAGGCTAAATCTGCCTAGCAACAATGATCCAGACACAAGTCATTCCTACAGCCCCACCAGCCCATGAGACTCTTAAAGAGATATCTCCCTATTAGGTCCATGGGTTACATATGCACTAATCAATCCCTCTCAAACCCATAAGAAGGAAGAGAATCAGGTACATTACTTGGTTAATAGCATTGTGCAGGGCCTCTGCACAGGGGGGAATTACCCCCTTGTAGCACGTCTCTGATAGAAGGGAAATAGATAGATGACTTTCAACTGGAAGAGATTTCCCTGCTCTAAATATGATACAGAATCTACTCCTGGGGGAATTCTGCACCAGAAAATTAAAAATTCTGCAAAATTCTGCTTTTTCTGTTTGTCAAAATAATGCAATATAACACACCAGTTTCACTTATTCTGGTGCATTTTTTAATCTACCATACAGAAAAGAGGGACACAGAGTAACTGACTTAATCTGCAGCAAGAGAGATTCAGGTTAGATTCACAAAAAGAAAAGGAATAGTTGTGCCATCTTAGAGACTAACAAATTTATTTGAGCATAAGCTTTCGTGAGCTACAGCTCACTTCATCGGATGCAGGCAGTGGAAAATACAGTGGGGAGATTTATATACACGGAGAACATGAAACAATGGGTGTTACCATACACACTGTAAGGAGAGTGATCACTTAAGGTGAGCTATTACCAGGAGGAGAGCCGGTGGGTGTGATAATCAAGGTGGGCCATTTCCAGCAGTTGACAAGAACATCTGAGGAACAGTGGGGGGTGGGGTGGGGAATAAACATGGAGAAATAGTTTTACTTTGTGTAATGACCCATACACTCCCAGTCTCTATTCAAGCCTAAGTTAATTGTACCCAGTTTGCAAATTAATTCCAATTCAGCAGTCTCTCCTTGGAGTCTGTTTTTGAAGTTTTTTTGTTGAAGAATTGCAACTTTTAGGTCTGTAATCGAGTGACCAAAGAGATTGAAGTGTTCTCCAACTGCACCATGCATCCGATGAGGTGAGCTGTAGCTCACGAAAGCTTATGCTCAAATAAATTTGTTAGTCTCTAAGGTGCCACAAGTCCTCCTTTTCTTTTTGCGAATACAGACTAACACAGCTGCTCCTCTGAAACCTCAGGTTAGATTATAAGCATAAATGTTCTAATTTCAGTGATAGTAAAGCAGCTGGAGCAGCTGGCAGAGATGCAGATCACTGAGGGGGAGGAAGACTGGGCATAAGTGCATGCATCCATGGAGGGATGTTAGGGGTGCAGGGCTGGACATGTGCCTACGTGTGAACAAGTGAGAGAGTCACTCTGTCCTTTTTGCTCGCTGTTGCTGCACCCCCGGCTTGGAGGGATATGGTTTGTGAGGCAGGTTCTGTCCCTGATGCAGAGCAGAAAGGTAGCAACTAAGCAGGCAGGCTGCTAATGTTCCCATTGACAATTAATTGTTCCCATTCTTAGTCAATTTCCCCAGGAGTCTAAAACACATGGAAAAGTTTTAAGGCTCCTTTACATTGTCAGTGTGGTGTAAAGGATCATTATATGATGGTAAGTGAAACCTCTGTGAGGAAGATCTATGGGCTTTCTCTCTTTTTTCCTGGGCCAGAGTGGCACAATGGGGTTAGATTACAGCTCACGATCTATTTTACTTATTCATTTAAAACAAATGCAAGACAATGATGAGCAAACCTGTGTGAGTTTCACCTGTGAAATTCTGACCAATGTAAAGAGACATTCTACTTTACTTTTATTTTGGTGTCTGGTATTCTGTAAGTAATTTAAATGACAATCCAGGATTATAACTGAAATACAGGGTATTTATAACTTAACTTTCATGTGTTTAGGAAATGCTGAACAATTACTGATTTATTTTCTGTATGATAGATTAAAAAATGCACCAGAATAAGTGAAACTGGTGTGTTATATTGCATTATTTTGACAAACAGAAAAAGCAGAATTTTGCAGAATTTTTAATTTTCTGGTGCAGAATTCCCCCAGGAGTAGATTCTGTATCATATTTAGACAGGGAAATCTCTTCCAGTTGAAAGTCATCTATCTATTTCCCTTCTATCGGAGACGTGCTACAAGGGGGTAATTCCCCCCTGTGCAGAGGCCCTGCACAATGCTATTAACCAAGTAATGTACCTGATTCTCTTCCTTCTTATGGGTTTGAGAGGAATTGATTAGTGCATATGTAACCCATGGACCTAATAGGGAGATATCTCTTTAAGAGTCTCATGGGCTGGTGGGGCTGTAGGAATGACTTGTGTCTGGATCATTGTTGCTAGGCAGATTTAGCCTTCCACATCCAGAAGCTTCTGGATTTTGGCTGTTGTCCTTTAGGGTCCAATAGGTTTCCTGTTGCTGGGGTCAGACTCCAGGAGAGTGAGCAGTCAGGGCAGCTGCATAACAAAGGACCATGTGCCCTGTGTGAGTTGGGAGAAGCTGAGCCCAGGAGCAGGAAGCAGGTTGTTTTCCCTAACTCTGAAGCATTTTGCGGCAGGTTAGTGGTATTGTTAACCCTCTGGCAGGGAAGCCTGGGGCATGCTAATTATAACAAGGGGAATTTGGGAGGGAAGAATAATTTCTTGCATGTTAAATGTATACTTTGAACGTTGTTTTGATTTTAGCCAAACTGTTTTGGTTAAATTGTCTCAACTCGTGTTTTGGAAGAAAGAATGGAGGGGAAAGGAAAACCAGAAGGCCGAAAATATGATGCAGCATAATTTTTTAATGGGACTGAGCAGCAGCGTTTACACAGACAGAACGAATTAATGCAGAGTACAGAGAATGCATTTGCGGGGTTACAATGAGAGCTCCAACCAGTCACCAGCTCCAACGTGGTGCATTTCTGCTCTCTTCCTTGCAGCTGCAGAGCTTGAAAATCATGTCGCATTTTCCAGCACTTTTAGTAACTTGTAGACTGCTCAGCATCGGAAAGGACAAAGCACAACAGCAGCATAAGATTAAGTTGCAAAACTAGACAGACCGTAAAGTTCAAGGAATATGTAACAAAAGGAAGGCATAGATAGGCCTGATTTATGCAGATGACGAACACCAATAACTCCCCCAGATTTCGAGTGGAGTTACAGATGCTCATTTTCCATTGGCTGTGTGGGGAATCTCTCTATTGTCTTTCATTTCATTTCATGCTTGTTTCTTGTACTGTAGTTCTTTCTTCTGGGTTTACAAAGGACAACATTCCCAGCGGTTAGCATAGCACTTCCTACCATATCTCCCCCATTTCCCATATGAGCCCCCGCATCCACCGCTTGATCCAAATCCACCCCCGCATCCACCACTGTATCCACCACTGTATCCACCACCATAACCACCCCGAACACTACCAACAACTCCAACACCATCCCCAAAACCACCCCCAGGTCTATAGGGTAAATTTGGTATGGTGGTTCCCACGAAGCTGTCTTGAGGGCAAGTAGCAAGAGTTGGTCCCGGGAATCTCACGACAACTGGGGGTGCAAAGACCACTGCGCTCGAGTCGCCACATGATGTAATACAAGGCTCATTGCAGACATAAGCACATGGATCTGGGCAAATGTCAGGACAATATGGGCGGGATGGGTAACACAGATCTTTCATCTTTGGTGATTGCCGTAAACCTGAAACACACAGTAGGGAGCACAGTGAACATAACACACAATTTGCAGTGTCATGCAGTAATAGATGCCAGGTAATTCCATTTCTTACAGGCTCTGTATCTGCTCCTATTTATTCCTTCTCCTCTTATTCACCCATTTACCCTTAGTCTTCTTCCTAACCATCCCCTGTGAACCCTTCTTACATCCTGGCTTCCTCCTTCCCATGCCAAGCAACTTCCCTATTTTTTTGGGTCCTATGCAGGAAATGTTCTCCATCTGCTAAGCCTTGATTGGCCACTTCTCCTTGAGATCAGTGCTGCTTGGAGCTTGCACCAATCCCATCCGATGGTTTCATCTGTCTAGTTTTCCTGATCTCTGTTTCTGGAGGCCACTCCCATCCAACCCCTAACCCTTCTTTCTAAATATTCTGACTCCAATCAAAACTTTCTTAGTCCACTCATAGTAAATTACCTTTTCACTGATTCATGCAGCCATTAAGCTGCATAAAACCCCCATGAAAGGAGTGGTTATTATCAGTGACTCAGTGGAAGTGAGCTGCCCACCACTGCCAGGTGAGTCCATGGATGAGCCGGGAGTAGAACTCAGGCCTTCCTCATTGATATTAATGATAGAATTGATCATGTGACCTCCAATATTTCCTACATGCTGCAATTGAATGGGGGCCCCATTGTACTGCGCCCTGCACAGGCAAAGGGTTAGAGACACTCAGCTGGCAGTTAGGACACCCAGCCGGGAGGTCGGAGATGGTTTTAAATCCCTGCTGTAAATGAGGCAGAGTGGGGATTTGAAAACAGGTCTCCCACATTCCAGTAGAGTGCCCTAACCACTTGGATTGGGTTATTCTTAGATGCATCCATGCCAGCCGGCCAGTTACCTATATTCATGACATAGTCATCCTGAGATATCTTCTCCATGATCCCCAAACTGGTAGATGTGCTCTGGATGTGGACCGTTGGGTAAAATAGGGAAGTGAATGCTCGTCTGAGAATTCCACTGGGACTAGGGCTGTGATCAGAGTGGAAGTATCAGGGTGTTGAAAGTTTCGCATGTACCAGCTGGCACAAAGGCAGGTGCCATGGGAATGTAGGTGCCTATAGTGTGAGTAGTTTTGAGGGAATAAATTGACAAGATTGTATGATATGGCAGCAAAGATTTTCCATTGTTTGTCTGACAATGAGACTTTGGAGCTAAGTGTCACCTAATTGTTGGCCTTCGCTGACTAAATAGGAATTTATATGCCTAAATATCTGAGGATTTGGTTTCAGGGGATTAAAGGCTTAGTTTCCAATACAGCTATGATTACTGAGTGCTGAGCCCTTTTGAGAATCTGGTCCCATTGGATTTGCCCAAGGAAATCTGTGGCAGAGAGGAGGACCCAAAGCAAATTTTCTGAGGCCCTACCTGTGCCTTGTCCATAAGACCTTCTGTTCCCAGCAACTCAGGAGGGAGGAGTAAACAAAGACTGAGTCTTATTACTAAACCGACAATAGAGAATATTTCCATCATGGACGCCAGCAATTTTCAAACCATTTAAATAATAATGGCACAGCATAGTGCAGAGAAACAGTTAATAATGCAAGTGTCCTTCTTAAACAAGTTCAGCATAGGGACTAAATCAATGGATCTAAATCATCATACTTACCTATAATTCAAATGTGCTACTTTTAATCATACCAGCTAAGTATCTGGATCTAAAATTACAAATTATGCCAATCGGTAATTAGTTATTGCTGTATTAGGTCCAATCAGTGGCCCATCTCATCCAGTATCCTGTCTCTAACAGTGTGCAGAGTCACATGCTTCAGTGTAATGTAAAAGAAGCCCGAAGTTGTCCATTATGGAGTCAACTGCCTATAACAAGTTACTAAGACACCTAAAGTAGAGGCTAGCTTTGCCCTGGAGGAGAACACATATCTATCTTTTCCAAACTTTGGGATTCATCTATAGCTATTGCTCTATTAAAAAGAACAGAATAGAAGAGTTGCTGTTCAATAGTTAGATACGAAAGCTGATCTCCATGGTTTTATGGAAACAGCAGGATCAGATCATCAGTCAAGGCAAACCTTTGTGACTGCAGTGATGTCAACTGAGGATTTGGCAATGTTTCTTTGTAAACGTAAAAAGTCAGAGAAGCACAATCTGGTATCAAAGTAGACTGTGGTTGAGGTTTGTAATAATTTTCTAAGGCATTGCCAGGTCCAAAACCCAATTATAATGATTGGGAACACGGAGGTCTGCGTTCCATATTTAGATTTGAAAATCCCAACCTGCTATTTGTAAGAAAGCATCCAGCAAAGTCTACAACTGACGAGCTACAGGAAATCTCTTTGCAAAGCAAGACACCCACTCTTTCAACAGCTCTAAAATCAGAGAATAAGTGTAGGATTAAGTCCACAGTTAAAACTATCACTGAAGCAACAATAGGAGGAATCTGAGTCAAGTAGACTTACCCAGTGCACCACGGGGATGAAGTCAAGAGATGTGGATTGAACACCCTGCAGTTCCGAGCACTTTTATATGCTTTTTTAGCCAGTGGGAAGAAACATGCTTAGTGCACTGAGACCTTATCATTAACCAAACAGAATGTTTTCTTGCCCGGGTAACTCCTGTAATTATTATAATGGTTTTGATAATTCCCAGTCCCACACAGGATAACCTGCATGCTGCAATGTGCGGTATGCTTTCATCCACCAGCTATTTTCCTGGTATCATCTTCCTGAATTCCTGGGTGTCACTAAATCTAGTTCAATTTCTATCATTCTGCTTTGATTAACTTCAGAGTATGAGGGTGACTCAGAGATGTATCAATGGTACAATCTGCTGTCATGCACAGGATTCTATGTTAGTTCTTTATATATTCAGACTAGTATCTAATTAGCAACAAGGTGGAGTTTACCCTTGGAATATAGAAGAAAATGCCATATTTTCTTCTTCTTCTTCTTCTTCTTCTTCTTCTTCTTCAATATGTTTTCATTACTCCCCTACAGTAGAGAACAGATCTCTCTGTCTGTCTCTCTCTCTCTAATTATACTTGAATACTTATTTTTGAAAGTCAACCACCAGGATTAGTTGCAATAAGAAGGGTGAGATCCTCAGCTGGTGTAGATATGTTGAGACACATGAGAAGGCTGAAGAGGTGGCTATACATACAAATATAAAAACGGTACCAAGTAATGCTGTCTAATATAAAAATATATTCAGTGTGAGATTTTTTAATCTTTCCTAAGGAATACAAATGCCCCTTTCTTGTGTAAAATTAACCAGAACTAGGGCTCTCCGCACACTATGTGGCTTTGAAATTAGCTGCCTTATATTTTTCAAGGCAAAATCCACAAAGGCCTGAACCTTACTAAGTACAAGGACACTTTTATGAGGGAAAATCCTTTAAAAATACAAAGAATCACAAGCTTTTTAGAAACATAGAACCATAGGGTTCGAAGGCACCACAAGAGTCAGCTTGTCTAACCCCCTGCAGAGATGCAGGATTTGTTGTGTCTAAACCATCCAAGACAGATGTCTATCCAGCCTATTTTTGAAGACCTCCAATGAAGGAGCTTCCACAACCTCCCTAGGCAGCCTCTTCTGTTGTCCTAACGTTCTGACAGTTGGGAAGTTTTTTCCTGAGGTTTAATCTAAATCTGCTCTGCTATAGTTTGAACACATGGCTTCTTGTCCTGCCCTCTGTGGCAAGAGGGAAGAACTTTTCTCCATCTTTCTAATGGCAGCGTTTCAAGTATTTGCAGATCACTACTATCATGTCCCGCCTTAATGTACAAGATTCAGTCAGAAGTGAAACTATCAGTGAAGCAACATTGCAATAGTTATTAAGTGGTAGAATTAAATCAGATTTAGAGGGTTCACAAAGGGGAATAGTCAAGAGAAG